AGAGACAGAGAGACCAAATAAAATCAGAAATGAAAGAGAAGTGACAAATGACAAAGGATTATAACTATATGCCAACAAATTATACAATGTGGATGAAATGGATAAATTCCTAGAAACATAAAACCTTCCAAGGTTGAATCAAGAAGAAACAGAAAATCTGAACAGACCAATTACTACCAACGAAATCAAATCAGTAATCAAAAAATTCCCAACAAACAAGTCCTGGACTGGATGGTTTCACAGGTGAATTTTACCAAAACACTCATAGAAGAATTAACATCTATCTTCAAACTATTCCAAAAAATCCCAAAGGGAAGGCTCCCAAGCTCATTTTACAAGGCCAGCATTACTCTGATTCCAAAACCAGACAAAGACATTACAAAAAAAAAATTATAGGTCAATAGCCCTAATGAACATTGATGCAAAAAGTTTCAACAAAACATTAGCAAACTGAAAAAGGAAAAAAAAAAACCCAAAACAAAACCAAAAAAAAAACACACATTAGCAAACTGAATTCAGCAATACAGTAAAAAGATCATACACCATTATCAGTGGGGTTTATTCCAGGGATGCAAGGCTGGTACAATATCTGCAAATCAATCACTGTGATGCACCACGTAAACAAAGTGAAGGACAAAAGTCATACAATTGTATCAATAGACGCAGGAAAAGCATTCGACAAAATCCAGCACCCATTTCTGATAAAAACTCTCGGCAAAGTGGGAATAAGGGAACGTACCTCAACATAACAAAGGCCCTATATGACAAACTCACAGCCAACATCATACGCAACTCATCCTAAAAGTGTTTCNAGGGAACATACCTCAACATAACAAAGGCCCTATATGACAAACTCACAGCCAACATCATACGCAACTCATCCTAAAAGTGTTTCCCTGAAGATCACGAACAAGACAGGGATGCCCGCTTTCACCACTCTTACTCAGCACAGCACCGGAAGTCCCAGCCACAGCCATCAGACATAAAGGAAGAAACAGAAGGCATCCAAATTGGAAAGAAGGAAGTAAAACTCATTGTTTGCAGATGACATAATATTATAGAGACTGACCCTAAAGATTCCACCAAAAAACTACTAGAACTGATCAATGAATTCAGCAAAATAGCAGGATACAAAATCAATATCCTAAAATTAGTTTCATTTTTATACACCAATAATGAATTATCAGAGAAATTAAGAAAACGATCCCATGTACAACTGCATTTTTAAAAAAATACCTAGGAATAGCCCTGGCCGGTGTTGTTCAGCGGTTAGGGCATCGACCTGCAAATCAAAGGGCTGCAGGTTCGATTCCTGGTCAAGGGCACGTACCTGGGGTTACAGGCTTGATCCCCAGCCCTGGTTGGGGTGCATGTGGGAGGCAATCAATCGATGTGTCTCTCTCACCTTTCTCTCTCCCCTTCGCCTCTCTCCCACTCTAAAACTCAATAGAAAAAATATCCTCAGGTAAGGATTAACCAAAAACAAAAATAAAACCTAGGAATAAATTTAAGCAAGGAGGTAAATGACTTGTACTCAGAAAATTACAAGACACTGAAATTACAAACAAATGGAAGCATACACCATGCTCACTGACAGGAAGAATTAACATTTTAAAATGCCCATACTACCCAAAGCAATCTATAGACTCACTGCAATCACTATCAAAATACCAATGGCATTTTTCATAGAACTAGAACAAATAACTTTAAAATTTACATGGAACCACAGAAGACCCCGAATAGCCACAGCAATCTTGAGAAAAAAGAACAAAGTTGGAGAGATCACGCTGTGTGATACCAAACTATACCACAAGACCACAGTAACCAAAACAGCATGGTACTGGCATCAAAACAGACACATGCCCCAACGGAACAAAACAGAGACTAACAATAAACCCACACCTACAAGGTCGATTAGTCTAAGACAAAGGAGGCAAGAATATACAATGGGGTAAAGACAAGTCCATTTAATAAAAGGCGCTGTAAAAATTGAACAGATACATGCAGAAAAATGAAACTAGACCACCCTCTTCTACCATATACAAGAATAAACTGAAATGTAAGACCTGAAACCATAAAACTTCTAGAGGAAAACATAGGCAGTAAACTCTGACACTGCTCTTAGTAATATTTTTTTCTGACATATCTCATCAAGCAAGGGAAACAGAAGAAAAAATAAACAAATGGGACTACATCAAACTAAAAAGTTTTTGCAAAGGAAACCATCAACAAAACGAAAAGACAACCTACAGAATGGGAAAACATATTTGCCAATGATACATCCCATAAGGGATTAATATCCAAATTTTATAAAGTACTCATACAACTCAACACCAAAAAACAAACAATCCAATTTAAAAAATGGGCAGAAAACCTGAATAGACATTTCTCCGAAGAGGACATACAGATATTGTCACTAATCATCAGAGACATGCAAATTAAAACCACAAGGATATTATCATCACCTCATACCTGTGAGAATGGCTATCATCAATAAATCAATCAGTGCTGGCGAGGATGTGGAAAAAAGGGAACCCTCATGTACTGTTGGGGGACTCAAATTAGTGCAGCCAATATGGAAAACAGTGTGGAAGTTCCGTCCAAAAAATTAAAAATAGGATTACCTTACGATGCAGCAATTCCACTTCTGGGAATGTATCTGAAGAAATCCAAAACACTAATTTTAAGAGATATATGCAAGCCTATGTTCAGTCGACCCTTGAACAATGTGGGGATTAGGGGCACCTCCCCCCCAACTCAGTCACAAATTTACTTAACTTTTGACTCCTCATAGAGTTAATTACTAATAACCTGCAGTTGACTAGAAACCTTACCGATAACATAAACAGTTGACTAACATATATTTTGTGTATGTACTATATACTGTATTCTCACAATAAAACAATCTACAACAAGAAAATATGAAAATTGTGAGAAAATACATTTACAGTACTGAACTGTATTTACCGATAACAGTTTATGTCACCTGTTTACAAGATTGTGTCAGTGCCTACATCAATAGCCATGTGTGATACAAAACACTGTAGATGCTATACTTATTACGAACACAAGACATCAAAAATGAAAAGATAACGTGAAAAAGAAATTTATATTTATTCACAGGTATGTAATGATTCATGCATTGACAATGAAACAGCAATGATTGCTTTATGGCAGCTTAGTGTAATCAATAGGAGTGCTTCACGGTAGCCTAGCCTACACACTAATAAATGAATCACTATAAAATTTTTATGGCATCCAGTATTACAGTCATATTCATAATATAGTATTGGAAATATTGTTGCTTTTTAAAAAACCACTTACCTGTGGTGGTAGGCTGATCCACACTATCTCCAATTAGAAGAGAGGCATACTGGACAGAAATGTAATTCTTTGAAAGCAAACTTTAAAGAGTAAGAAAACGAATACATTATTAATTCTGTATTAAATATCACTCACCTTATGCTCATGTAAGGGTAGGCCATCCATGTCCACACGGCACTGCACATGCTGTTCCACATGGTGAGTACTTAAGTGATGATTATGACACAAACAACTCATACAGCTCTTGCCATATAGTTATTAGGTTTTCGCATAGACACACACACACACACGAAACAGGTAAGTTTATTAACTGCACAGCATGACGATGATTTCCCACTCATTAGTGGAAGTGGGTCATCACGCAGACCTCCGTCCTCACGGCCCTCGCACCGAGCAGGCTGCGGAGAGGAGGCGGTCTTGCTGTCTCGGGTGCAGAGCAGGAGGAGATGGAGGGAGGCAGGAGAGGCGGGCGCCCTCGGTGTAACTTTGCGGAAATATATTGTAATTTGTCTGACTTTTGCTTTTTCATTTCTCTAAAAATGTTTCTATACAGTACCAATCCTTTCTGTGTTTGCTTTCATTTCAGTGTGTGTACCATAGAAGGGTCCACGTCATAAGAGAAGTCAAAAGTAGTCTTGAATAATTAGGAGCCTCTGCCAGACTGTCACGTCGATTTGTTTTCTGGCTCTCCTTCCCGTCCTCGGAGACGCTCATCTCCATCAAGTCGTCTCCTGTTAATTCCTCTGGTGTGGTGCCTACTAGCTCTTGAATCTCTCCAAGATCCTCATCTTGAAACCACACACACACACACACACACACACCACACACCCTTTTTTATTATTTTGCCATATCCACAATCTCTTTCATTATTTTCGTAATTGGCTCTGTCGTAAATCCTGTGAAGTCCTGCACATCTGGACAGTTTTCTCCATCTGGGGTTTCTTTCAGGCTTGATGGCTTTCACAGCTTTTTCTGTAACTATGATGGCATCTTCAATGTGTGATCTTCCCAGACTTTCATGTTCTGTCGGGTTCTTTCCCACAGTGCTGACAATCCTTTCCGGAGCACCACGTGTAACAGGCCTTAAAGGTCCCTCATCTAGAGGCTGAATAGAGACATCGTTTGAGGGCAAGTAGACCACTTTCACGCCTTCAGTGTTGAACTCAGGGAATTCTGGGTGGCTGAGAGCACTGTCCAGTATCAAAAGAACTTTAAACGGCAGTCCCTCACCTGGAAGGTACTTCCTGACTTCAGGGCCGAGGCATTGATGGAACCAATCCAGAAAAGGGGTTCTCTTTGTTCAGGCCTTATTGGTGTACAACCAAAGACTGGCAGCTGGTGTTTATCTTCCCCCTTTGAGGCTCAAAGGTCACCAGCTTTATCCTGATCATAAACCAGACTGCATTTACACAAAACAGCGTTAACCTGGTCCTGCCTTAAACCCTGGTGCTTTCTCTTACTAATAAATTCCCTTTGTGGCATCCCCCCCCCCAGATTAGGGCACTTTGATCTGCATTCAAAACCTGTTCAGGCAGGTAGTCTTTCTCCTTACTTTCTTAACAGCATCTGGGAACTTTGCTGCCAATTCATCCGCAGAAGCAGCTTGTTATCCTGACATTTTTTAAGGCAAAACTTTAAAATGATCACCCTACGGTTAAATCCTGCAGCCTTAGAGCCATCATCTTCCTTTGCATCAGGTTGTCATACAATGACTTCAGCTTTCCTCAGATCACACCAGAGTCCGAGTAGCTTGGTCAGACCAAGAGACTGAGGGGAAAGGTGGGCTTGTAGAAGCAGAGAAGACAATCTGACACTCCCATCTGGAGACCAGCCAAGGGCAGAGGCTGGAGAACAAAGCAGGAGTTGTGCTGTCCCTTGCTGGAGAGCACCCTCCACGGTGTATTACACAGAGTCCTGGTGGAGTCCTCTCCTCACACCTCCTTCAACACACAAGACAGGCCACCCTCTGCCACAGAACAAGTTGCCAAATAAAACTTTAAAAAAACAGCCAAAGGGCCATTACTACACAAGGGGCTGTGTCCCCAAACACCTGTGCCTACCCACACTCTCTTTCAGTGTCCCCTTGAGCAGGATAAAGCATTTCTTTCGAGGATGAACAGAGGTCTCCCTCAACTTGGTTGCCCAGGTCCTCCTCCCACTCAAGAGCTTATGAAGCCAGAGAGGATTCCCCCAACCCGAAATAATAGTAAACCTATGGTTAAGCCCTTCAGCCCTATCCTCAGTGCTGGAACAAGAAATGCATCGCAGGGTGTCATGCATGGTTTGAGATAAACAACACGTACCAGAACTTACATGCTTAACCAGTTTTACCACTTTTTGGAATTACTATTTACCAACCAATGTGGAAATCTTTCAGTACTTAGCATGAACTATAGCTGTATCAGTGTGCAGGGGCTAAATATCAGCCCTGCTCATATAGAGTATGACACAATCGTTACAGAGCTCAAAAACATGGGGAGTTAATCGGGTTTAGGAAAAAAATACCCATGTGGAAAAACTATGAAAACAAAACAATAAAGGTAAAATTCAGGATAACGGTTATCTTTGAAGAGGGAGTTAGTAATTTTCTACTTCTTAAGTTGAATGATAGACTTATGTTTATTTTATTATGGTTCATAGTGTGTGTGTGTGTGTATATATATACATATATATATATATGTATATATATATACACAATTTTCCACAATAAGTTCTCAGGGTTGACACTCTGGCTTTACCAAATCAGCTTGCTCCAAACTCCCATTCTCTACAATGCTATCACCATCTTACTCACAAAACTGAGTAAGAAATCTTGTCAGATACTAAAATTGTGCTGAAATCAAGACAATTATGTCTGTAAAGATCCCCATTTGTATCTAAAGAAAGGAATGAGGCTAATTTGATGTTATTCTTAGGACCTAGGTCAGTTGTCCATTACATTTTATCCTGAATTTACTCTTCAGCCCCCAATCTTTTGGCATCTCTTATACTTTCTATAGTTTCTTAGATTACTGACAGTGACTAGACTCAGGAATATATTTGATCCCAGGTATATGAGCTCATTGAAATAGGTTTGGTGTCTATCATTTTTCACCTGATACCTTCCTCACAAAGAAAATCTATCTTTTCAATAAGGCTAAAGATACTTTTGCTTTTGTGAATATTGTTATAAGGATATTATGTTTCCCTAACAAATAGAATTTGACTTCCTTGATCTTAGTTCAGATAGTAAAAGCCCTTTTCATTTTGAGATTTTTTGTTGACACTTTTCTTACTGTTGTGTTTTGCGTGTGTCCTTACTTCCAGCTTGGCATGGATCTCTAAACTTTCACCTCAACAACTACAATCCCTCATTGTTCAGGACCAAGTAACCACTCATAGTTTCCTATTTGCCCTTTTAAGAAGCTGAATCTTGTGAAATTAAAACTTCCTAAAATGACAGATATGGTACTACTTATGACAAACAGAAGACAAGGGGGCTCTAACTGGTCAGAAATTCAGACAGCAGCACAGGAAATGCTGACCAGTGTGTAGCTAAGTCAAGCTGTGTGGCACTGGGAGAGTCCTCATGGATGCAGACAAGGAGGTGGTGCACAAGGAAAGTCTGTGCAGCATAGCTACTGTAGAACAGAAATTTAAAAATCCAGATTACTACACTCAACCTAAATTCGCTATAAAGAAATACTAACATTTTTTCCTTTAGGAAAGCTTGAGTGCAACTAAAAACTAGAATAAAATTTCCAAAACTGCTTTGCAAAAAAGCGCAGATGTTTCCACTATGTGACTTGTCATCTACTTTGTATTATCTGGAACTTAGCACATTCAAGAGCAAAGTCTTTAGTTCACATAGCAATAAGAGATAACACACTATACACCTTAACCGACCATGAAAAGATTGTTTTATTCCATGAAAATATTCTCAACAGAGAACACTATCTTAAACAAAGCATTTACCATTAAGAAATCAACATGTGCACAAAAAGAGTAAAAATTATTGAAAAATTAAAGTTTTGGACAATTCACATGTTCAAAATTTAAGAATGATTTAAGAATGATTTAAACTGTGCAAGTACAAATGTCTGTCCTACTGTAATAACCCATATACAGGTTGCACTATTCCACATGAAGGAACTTGCCTCCTACAGAGGCAAATCCTGCTTTTAGAAAAACAAAGAGTAGCCTGAAAAGAACAGTTAGTCCTTACACGAAAACCTTAAACTTTGCCCTCTGTGGCTGCCGGCCAAACACACACAAGCACTTCAGGCTTTGTACAGAAGACAAACACAGCCAGATCACATTTCCTCCTCATTGCTAACCTTTCAAATACAAATAGCACTAGGATTTAAAACTACTTTATGTAGTCTGTCAGTATTGAATAATGTCACATTATATAAATAACCCTGTAACGAGATTCAAAATCTAAGTTTTATAGTTTACTAGCCTCAAAAGTAATACACTATACGTCAGCTGTGTAACAGGGGCATAATCGATCTTATGAAGATATTAACTTTCACACAATTGTCATTCAGCCTTAGTATATAACTGGTAGTACGAATCAAACACTGGGGAAAAAATTATTAAAGCAGTCACACAGCTTCTAAAATATTGCTTAAAATCCAACAATACACAGACCATTTCACGTTCTCTTTCTTCCCCCAAAACAGTAAAGAACCAAATTAATGAAGCTTCCATTGGTAGAAATATCCCCCCACCCCCGCCCATCTCCCTATTAAACATCACTAAGAAATTAGTTAAGATACAAGTCATTAACAGAACCACAAATGCGAGGCAGGACAACATGAGCAATAGGGCACTAATGACAATTATATTTACAAGTATAAACATACAGAAATTTCCATTTTACAAGTAAAAGTGCACATAGATCATTACAAAGTTTCACTAACTTTTATCTGGTTCAAACAAAAGCATCACTTGGAAACAGACTATCACTGTAATAATCAAATGAGAACATGGTAACCCCAAATTAAAAGACAATGGGGGGGTCCATAAAACTTCATCATAAAAACACTGAGTAAAGTCAAATGGACTCGAACATGTCTTAATCTGGTGCATAAATTCGAAGATGCACCGTCAAACGCGGTAGAGCTCTAAAAGCCACCTACCGAGGCTACATCGGCAGCTGCAGCAGCCCTGCAGAGTTAAAGGAGGTCACACTGAGCTGACACACAAAGCCCTTTGTGGGATACTGTAGTGGTAGTGTTGGCAATCAACAGATTTAGGCACTCTAGTTTAAGGCAGCATTTGAATGGAAGCAGCTGACTTCTGACAACAGTCCTTTGTCTTGAGGTGGTGAGTATCTTCTGTGTTTATTATGCCAGGATTTCAGTGCTGACTATAGATTCTTCCCAGATTGAGGTGCTGAAGATGTATCATGCTTCAAAGAGTTCTTTCAACTGGGCTGTAGGCTAGAGCATAGATGTTTTCTTTTTCTTATCATAGATGCTTCAGGTTCACAAACTACTTCTTCATAATGCCAAAACTGGAATGTTTGTAGTGGGGAAGTTATAGCAGCATACACACACAATGGGATGGAAACATTAGTGCTGGAGATGTTTGACAAAGTGATCTGCACTACAAATGTAAAACAAAACTAAGGCTTTGACAAGAACAAGGGATTATAAAGACATGCCTGAAAAGTCGAGCCCGGTCACTCTACACATGCAACAGGACGTTAAGCAAACACAGAAGTGGCGCAGGCAGACACTGAGAAATGACAAGGGTTCCAACAGACGATGGATCTAAAAGCCAATTAAAACAGCTGGGATAGAGATGGTGCTGGTGGGACAGCCAAATGTAAGACAAATTCAACAGCTCTGCATTCTTTCTGATTTGGACATCAGTAAAATAAATGGAAAAAAGGTTAGCCATTGTTAGCTTTTTTTTCCTTCATGTAAATAACTGTGAATAAGGAATTTAAGGACTTAATGATTTTTTAAAACAATGTATGAAAATGCTAATGAAGTTAGTAAAAAAATAATGATGTCTGCATGCACTCATGCAACTTGCTTCTCTCACTCTCTCGCTGAGCCTGACAACTCTAATACCCTCCCCCCAAAAGCAGCTGCATGTAACCTCCTTCAACATCTTGCCCATTTCCTCAGAAACCCTCTTCAGGAACCTGCAGTCCAGGAGGAAAAAGAAAAGAACAATTACTGAAGACCTTTGGTAAGACCAAAAGGGGTGTTCAGTTTAAAGTGTCCACCCTAAATGTTCCTAAAAGCATTTTATAGTCAGCTACTGAAAACACCAGAAAAACTTGGAACACGAGCAAAATCAAAGACAAGTTTCGTAGCTGCTTCCTCACTTCATTCCCAGCACAACTAGCACTGCACAACCCTTGACGGTACAGTGCTACCAACAAATGCTTACTGAAATTAATTGGAGAAAAAGAACTCATCCTAATAACTGATGATCAAGCTAAAATGAGGACATGTTCTAAATGGTAGAACAGATATCCTCCTCAACCCAGTCAAAAAAGTAGTTTTTCCTTTTAAAGTAAAATGTGCCAGTACTTCTCCTCCATTCAAGATCTCCTCTCTATGTTAGCTTATTTTAAATCTATTTTCCTATTATAGCTGCTAAATAATCATGAAAGTGATATTTCCCAAAAGACATTCTCAAGATAAAAAATACAAGCATTAGATTAATTTGAAAGGGAGCTCGTGCATTACTGAAAATTACTAGTAAGCCTGAAAATATTATCAGGTCTCAAAAGAAAGTCATTTTATTCAACCAAGCGCCAGACCGGGTGGATTTATCCTGCAGGTCTCTTGGCCCGCCTACTGCTACAACAGACTTTGTGCTAGGTGCTTTATTCCTTTAGGAAACCAGAATTAATAGGAAAATGAAAACAGCTATATTCTTATTTTATCCCATTAGCCAACTATTACTACTTGTCTTCCTGGAGACTATAGCTCAATTCAAACTCCTGCACTGAACCAGTCCCTGGAAGTTGGCTGTTTATAGCTTTTCATAGCAGTTATTATTTGAATTCACTAATCACTGTGTTTTCTGAAGCCAAGTGTGTGTATATGTATGTTGGGGGGGTACCTTTTATCTATGGATTCCTGCCCAATAGGTCAAATTCTATTTTTTATTAGGCAGAAAAACACAAATCCTTCACACAGACTTAAGCAAGACATAAAGCAGAAGTCATCAGTTAAGCTCCACACCAACATCACTCATGGCAAAGCATCAACAAGAACAGTTTCTTGTGGTAAACTGACATCTTTAAGATCGAGCCTACATTCAGCTCACACAGTGAACAGTAAATCTTGGATGCCCTTTAAGTTTTCTGATGTTTCCCCACCTGTCGAGTGTGTTTTCATTTTAAGGAATCGTTCCTACGTGACAGAGCTGCCGGGTTAGTTAGATGTAAGTTACTGCACCTTTACTGTTTCTCTCTAGGGCTACGTCTATGTACGACGTGGGAACGTAGCCTTCTTCACCACTCTGTCTCCGAGCTCTAGTCCAGCCATCGCCTCTGTCCTCCTCGATAATGTACAGAACTTCACCTTCTTTCATTGCCAGCGTACCTTCGTTATGTCCTAGGGAGAGTTTTCATGGTTCAAGCATAATTTAAGCACAGCGATAATTTCGAATAAAAGTTACAGATAACACAAAAAAAACATGAAACCCTACTAAATTTCAATGTGCCTAGGCACACTGACTCTCATCAGCAACATCACTCCAATACTCTGTAGTTTACCCAACACATTCATATACATTCTCTCATGTGAACTCTCAGACTGGCGTCAATATCACCCCCACGCAACAGATGAAATATAGGCCACAATGACATTATATGGCTTGCAAGAGTACTCTAATTCCTATTTCACTACTTCAGTTTCTTTCCCAAACTTGAGTGGTGCTGCTATCTAGAAAATTCATGAGATGTGGATCAGGAAAATAGTAGTAAGACAGTAAGAGGGTGGAAAGAATGTAATTTAAAAAGAGCAGAGAGAAAAACATCAGCTCTGGTGATGGTAGAAGCAGAATGGTTATTGCCACAAAGCACAAACTTCCTTCAAAACCTCATCAGCCTCAGGGCTCTTTCCTCCCAATCCCCAACCCTCCCAACCTGCTCAGCAGTAACTAATTTCACAAATGAATCTTTATTTAACATGTGCAAAATTCCTTCTCTATTCGCTAGATTACATTATAGCAAGATCTCACTTAATATTTTCTTACAATGAGGAGTTACTAAAGACTTTACTCAGTTTTAACACCAATACAATGGATGGGTGGGAAAGGATGTTATTCGCATACCATTTTATAACAACTTATTTGTAAAGGTGTTACTGTGCTCCTCTGTGATGTAAGGAAAAGGGTTTTCCAGTCCTTTTCCCACAAGAGAGGCAAGGGTAACTAAAAGTCTGCAGAAGAGGACCACAATGACTTCCTCCCCTCACATGGTTTGTCATCCAACTATCACAGGGGAAAAGATGGCAGAGTCAAAAGTTACCATATTCTCTCCTTCCCTTGCCTGGAAATGTGGCCTACAGTCAGGGTATGGTGGTGGCATTCAGTTATGCCATTTACCTGTCTCCCAATGTTAGCAAGTTAAAGGGAGAGCTTGAAAGTGACATCTGCCAGCCTTCCACTGCCGGGGTTAGGGTGCATGCTCACGCTGCTTCAACTTTAATGAGTACATGGCAGCATTAGTAAGATCTCTGGGGGAAATTCTGTATCGACCAAAGTTGGTAATTAAATAATAATCTGTATTAGAATACTGATAACATAGGTAATTTTCTTTCAATTTCATGTATGGAAGAAAAATTTCTATCTGTAATACAGTTAAACGAAAATGTTCATACTAATGAACTAGGATTATAATTATCTGACAATATATTATTTAGCTGAGGGCGCTAAAGTACATGACCCTTATATGTAGACTTTAAGGAACCAATGTTATCATATATAATGTATTAGAAAAATCATACCATCAAAAGGGTAAATAGCTTTGCAGTGTCCGATAGCAGGCAAGGGATCGTCATCTTCAAATTCATCATCAAACTCATTGTGGTGACTGTGCTGCTGGGGTGGCCCACGGACTTCCTGATTTGCATCATCAGTGTAACTTCCCTCAGGACTATAAAACATAAAATTATCTCTGATCAAGTATCACAGACATGGGAACTTTATATATTGTCTACAAGCTGATCTTAGGATCAATTCAGAGAATTAAGTACCAATGATATAGTTCCAAATTCAATTTTTATTTTCTTAAACACTGATTCTATCTATCTATCTACAAATTGCTTCTAAAACAAAATGCTTCTTTGTTGAATTTCCTGAAATTAACAAATTAAAAGACTACAATGTTCTAGACACACGGCATGTATGCAGTGAATATGTCTCACAATCACCAGGTCCAGGGAAAATGTACACATGTATTGGATGCTTGTCTTTCATCATCCTGGATTCATCACACACACACCCCTTTTGGCAAGAGGACCTAAAAATTCCTTAGGGGACCCACCCACAATCATGTTCAGTTAACAGGTTTCAGGTGGATTGTTCTGTCCTGGCTCCAGAGGGCCCATCTTAACACAGCACTTGTATGGCCAGAGTGACGAGTTCACAAGTTGGTCTGTAACCTAGTCAGATATAAGATGCGCAGAAACCTCTGCTTGGGACTGTTGAAAGAGAAGCTCCCTTCCTTTTCCACTGGACTTGAACCTGGAGAAATATGAGCCTAGAGCTTAGAAAGATTACCATATGAAGCCTTAAAATGAAGCCAATACAGTGGAAGGCAGAACTGTGAGGTAGAGAGAACTGAATCCTGAGTATATAGCACCTGAGCTCCTAGACTAAGCTCTCCCTGAAGTCAGCTGATAAAATCCCTTTTTAGTTTAAGCCAGCATGGGCAGTATTTCATTCTGTCACTAAAAACCCAAAGTTCCTAATAAAGTTAACTTCCAATTAATCATGATACCAGGAAAGTTCGTAACTTAGAAAACCCAAAAAACTAGGTAATCCAAAGGCATTTTTTTCTTCAAAACTTTTTAAATCAAAGAGAGAAAAATGGTAATAATTTTGCTAAAGAATCAAATGACTAAGATTATAATGGGAAATCTACATGATTAGATTTAGCAGTACTTTCAGTGTGCCCTGAAGACATGTTCTTAAATAACAGAAGCTGAAAAGATTATTAAAATCTAGGTTTTACCTGACAAAACCCAGTATATTTTGGGGTATCTCTTGATATACTGAAGATATGTACTCTTTCAAAAAATGATCATGGAGAGGAGGAGGAACTAATATTTGTCAAGAACATACTATAAGCAGGTATTTTACTACTGGGTGCTTTATGTACATTACTTCATTTATTACTAATAACCCTGTATAAGGGGTATTTTAATCTCTACATTTGAGGACACTGAGGCTCAGACAGCATTAAAAATTAACTTGCTCAAATTATAATACAATTAAGTGGTAAATCAAGATCTCTCAAGTTCTTCTCTAAGGTGAACCTTAATTTGTTGGACTTCATTATAAAAAAGACAAAGACATATTATAAAAAGGGAAATGTCACAAATAGTATGGAAACTTAGCAAAATGTCTTTTGGAAGCTCTGGTCTAAACTAACAATACAGATTTTTCACAAAACTGAGCAAGGTGACAGTTAAATTTTTCTCTGGCATTAGCTATCCAACTCCATCTACTTTAAGGGATTCTTCCCAGGCCTGAGGAACCTATGCCTCCAGACTATAGCTCCAAGAACTTTCTATGTTCCCATCTCTGCTTTGGGGTGCATGACAAACTAGAACTGTGCAGCAATATGACATTTGATACTTCACCTATAGCTATTATAAAGAAAATTTAGGTTCAAAGGACTGATGTTATTAAAAGCCAAACTTGTTAAATGAAGAAAGAAAAAAAATTATATGAAGTTTGGAAAAAAAAGTGAGAAAAGTTTGGTAGAAAAGAAGAAATACAAATAAAATACAAAAAATGACCTTTCTCGTCCCTGTGTTACAAGATGATTTATGTCACTGCTATGTCTTCTGTCTCCTCTCCCACCTGTTTTGCCTTCAACTTCAGAGAGCCATGCCTTAAGAAAAAAATAAGTAAAACTAAGCTTAATAAATATTTTTAAAAGCTCATAAGATATTCTACATTTAAAATATGCTTTGCATTTTTATGATTATGTAGTTCTTAGAGAAGGGAAACCTTTATTCCAACTTGGTCAATGATGAAACTTTATGTCTAATAATAAAAGTTTAAATGTTTAGTTTTATATAATGTTTTAAATTAAAAAACTTCAATAAGGGACTAAACATTATATACCGTATGATACCTTACTTTTAGATCATGAACCCTAAAATTAAATATTTGAAGATAATTCTAGCAAAAACTAATCTATCATAATGAAGTTTATACAGATGAATTTATCTCAGACAATTGCTAAATAACAAATCTACCTCATTCTTGTGGATTTCCATTCGCAGGCGGTCAATATTATTCATGGTCTCTGCTAATTTAGGCTGCAAACTCCCTGGATCCCCCATTTGTGGATTTTTCTCATACACATCTTTCATTTTGTTGAGTGCTTCTCTGAAAACAAAAAAGAAGCCATAAAATTAAGTATTCACTCTGTATGTTCGCAGATAAAAGACCTTTGTTTCATTTTCAGGATTCACATCTCTTTAAGTTTAGTTAAATATTACCTGATTAAAGATAATTTGATAATGTATACAGAGTTTGCAATTTATGGAGACAGCCCTTTTAAATCATCTGAAATATCAAAAAATAAATATTTAATTTCTCATTCTTGCTTCCTAAATGAGATTTTATAGACATATAATTTTTATTTTATATATATATATGTATATAAATAATATCCCTATACATGTATATTTAATCAAAGGCTGGAAGATATTCTTAAACTCATCATATCCCAAATCAAACTCAAATTCCCATCCACATTATTCCACCTTTTCTTAGTTCACGGCATCACTGTCCTCCCACCCATCTATACTAGAAATAGAAATGCATCTTTAACTTGCCCTTCTACCTCTAAATTCAGTTCCTCACCTCCTCTTCACTAATCATAACAACAGATTATGACTCAATCAGCTCTCCTGGGCTCTAACAACTGACAGTACTGACTTCCACTCCTTAACACCCCTTTCCTTCCCAATCTCCTGGAGGATACGTCTTCTCTTTACTCTGCTTCTCCCAATCTCCCTCACTAGCTCCTTCTCCCCCTCTGTTCATCCTTTAAACGCATGTTACATAAAATGACACAGGTTTCTCCTTGTTCATCCTACACTCCTCCTTCAGAATGATCTTATTGTTTTGTATTTTCCAGTTCTACTGAGATATAATTGAATCATTGCTTTAATACACCTATCATTAGATGATACTCAAATATATATCTCTATTCCTTTCTGTCCTAAGTTCTAGCTTTGAATTCCAAATCCAATTAGATACTTCCATAGAGATTTTCAAATATTTCAAAATTCAGCATAAACAAAACTGTTTTGTTTGCCCCAAATTTATTTTTTCTTACTGTTCTAATTAAGTCTTAATCTGTATTTCTGAGGTACAAAGCCTCCATTTTTCTCTTCTTGGACGTCCAATCAGGTGACAAGTTTGACCTACTTTGCCTTTGAAACAACTCTTATAATCCACTCCTTTCTAATCCCAAGACATGGCTTAATTTAGGCCAACATCTCTCACCTGGATTATTGAAAGTCCTCTAATTGGTCTCCCTAATGCCAATGACTTTTCCTATACAATCTGTTCTTCGTACAGTTTTCAATTATCTTTCTTTATAGAGGTGATAATATCACCCACTCTCTCAACAACGTTCGGTGGCTCTTCAATACCTACAGAATTCTACAAAAAAAGCATTCAACACTTTACATAATTTACCCTATGCCTTTTCACCCTCATCTTCTGCTACTACACTCCACACAATTTCTAATCAAGTCTCCCTGGTCTAGAGCCAGTTCCAGGCCATGCAAGAACACTCACATTTCTGTGCCTTTATTTTTATTTTCCCCTCTTCCTTAAATGTTCCTACTCTCCCCTTATTGTCTAATCTCCTGTCTGACAAAACCCTACTCTTCCGTCAAGGTCTATTCCAATGTTCTAGAGACAAACCAGCTAGTGTTTGGATGTCAACTCTGACATTTACCAGCTTCCTAATCTGAGACACATTATGGATATATTTGATACTCAATTTCTCCACCTTTATAACAGGAACAACAACTTCAGAGGGCTATTTTGAGGAATTCAATGACGCACTCCATGTAAAATGCTGGGCTCACTTCCTAGTACATCATAATCCCTCAATAAACATTAGTTTCCTACACCACCTCCCTTCCTCTTCCCCCAGTGACGTTTGTCTTAACTATCTCAGTAAGAATTTATTATTTTCCCTTCCAGGTTCCCCCAGAACTTTATATCTCTATTAGCAGCTATTATAATCCAGCTTGTATACAAAGTGAATCTCAGAGTCTGATCTTTCTCAGCTAAAATGTGAGTCTATCAGGATCAGAACCACGTTTATTCATTTTTATATCTTCTACAGTCCTGGCAGTCTATTACAATAGTAAGTCCTAAATATTACATTATATGTTATAATTTTCCAGAGGCCAGTTACATGTTGATCTAGTAAGAAATATTTTAACATTTAAAAATTATTTAATGATATAATATACAGCACAGTTAGTAGTTAGTAATACTGTACCATATATATGAAAGTTGCTAAGAGAGTAGATATACTCATCACAAGAAAAAAACATTTTTGTAACTACATACGGTGATGAATATTCAATAGACTTATCATGGTCATCATTTTACAATATATACAAATATTCAGTCATGCTGTATACCTGAAACTAATATGTCAAATATACCTCAATAAAAAATGTTATACTAACACAGCTGATCCTCCTTATTTGCAGATTCCATTATTTGTGAATTGCCCATTTGCTAAAATTGATTTGTAACCCCAAAAGGAAGACAACTGGAACGTTCATAATCATTAGACGTGCATAGAGTGGAGAAAAGTTTGAGTCATCTGATGCATGTGCACATTCTCAGCTGAGGTCAAACAAGAAGATGCTCTAACTTCTTGTTTCTGCTCTGATACTCTAAACAAGTGTCCTTTTTGTACTCATTATTGGTGATTTTTCCCTTTAAAATAGCCCATAAGCATAGTGCTGAAGTGCTATCTAGTGTTCCTAAGAGCAAGAAGACTGTGAGGTGCCAGATGGAGAAAATACATGTTATATAAGCTCTGTTCAGGCATGAGCTACCAGGATGTTAGCCCTGAGTTCAAAGTTAATGAATCAATAATATATATTATTTTAAAATGTGCCTTTAAAGAAAAACACATAAAACAAGGTTATGTATATATCAGTTGACACAAATATTGTGACCAGAGGCTAGTAACTAGAGCCCTGTATTTTCTGTCTCGTATTCCCTAATTCGGTGTTCACAATGACTTTATATAGAGCCTAACTGCCACAAATGACGAAAACCAATTGGAATGCCATTATTTCATTTATGATTAAGCACACAATCATACCTGATGTATATAATTCTTAACCATCTTTAATCACTCATGCCAGACCTTAAACTCCAATTTTATCTTCAGTGTAAATGCAGATAGTAAATCACCAATTCACTGTAACAACCCTTTATTCATCATAACTCTCTATGTTCATTAAAACAAAACTGAAATACAGGAATCTTTTTATAAAACTGAAAAAAAACCTAAAGCTTTGAGTGAATGAACTGAAGACACAGTAATCAAGCACTGTTTACCAACATATTTTGCTGCCAATGAAATAATTATAGCTTCAGGTTTCTACTGAACTCAATTTATATACCAAAGCAAAATGAAATTTATCCAAGCATAAGAGGTGGTTAGCATTAGTGGAACTACTCTCAAAAATGAGTCACCAAGTGATTCTGTAAATTTTTGGAAGGCATAAATATATACTATCAGCTCCAACAAGTAATCTGCAACCCAAGACACTCTAACATTTCATTTTTACTTGTGACATGGCAATTATAAAACTTTCTAACATTTTGAAGTGTATTTTTCCCTCAAAAGATACTTCAATTAGGATGAATGATTTTTAAACTTTTTATATATCACATTTAAACACATCATTCAAAGTAGACCCTAAAAGGAATAATAATGGTAGAAAGAACTTAATGGAAAAATACTTTTGGTCTGATTCTTTTTGTAGTTCTCTGTTAAGTTCATCGATACGCTGCTGTAGTTTTTTACGTCTCTGTTCTGGTGGCAGATGACTGAAATCTTCTAGTGCTGTGCCCTGAAAAAGAGAATCTAAATGAGTATAAAAGACATTTTCAATAAATTTCATTTTTTATATGTACCAGCTATAAAATAAAAACGTCAAATTTAAGTTTAATTTCAAATTAGCTCCGAACAACCCTTTTAAGAAAAAGAAATCTACATAGATATGTGTTCGTTAATTAAAACAACTGTATTAACAAAAGGGCTCAAATTCCAGTCAGTTTATAAAGTCATGAAATAGGATGGTAAAAATACCACCAGATACAGTTAATAGGTAATGACCAGTATCACATTATTCCCAGGTCTTGGCAAAGTTCAAATAAATACATACGGACCTTCTTACAGTCACAACAAATGGAAACACATAACATTTCTCATCTATACAAATTATTGTTTCATATGAAACATATCACCACAATCCCAGTCAGATTATTACAAATGTTCAGACTGAAAAGGTGAAGTTTACAAAACTGAATTAAGGAAGCCACTTACCTCATAAAGACAATCTAATTAATGAAATGTTCATATTACATATAGTCTTTGAATGATCACACTTATTAAACCACTCTATTCTTTAGAACCAAAACACACTTGATCATTAAAAAGCAAAAGAGCCACTAAGTGAAATTTAAGTAGATATTATATTCCAATAAGGAGTCTTTTTCAATTATCCTTTCATACAACCAAATAATACACACCTCAATTGTTCCTGAAAGAATGATATAGTCCAAAGATAGATACAACCCTTCTTTTGGAAGTATGCTTCATGTTTTAAAATTTTTTAATGCTTTGATATTCAAAAGACTATCATTTAAGAAAAGTGCTAGTACTTAAATGTGAATTTCTGATTCAAATGATGTCATTCGCCTCTTAAATGTTAATCACTGTTACTTTAGTTACCCTATTTGAGATTATATAACAGAGCCAGTATTAGCAACTACTGAGTCCATTTCATATAATCCCATATTTACATATTTTTTATATCCTCCAAAAGCTGATGACACCTGTCTCATCCTTCTTTTGAAAATGGTGATTTTAAGAATACACAGTTCAGTTTTTAAAGTGTTGCTGAAGGGAGCTCCCAAAATAAACGCACCCTTGCTCTTTGGGCCACTTGTGCCTATCACATAAGCTAAAAAGCTTTATTTCACCATGTAGAAGAATGCTTCTCTTACTTTAAAATAGGAGAACACTCACTTTTAGGATGAGCCATGATCAAATATAACAATTAATAGCTGAATCTCTAAAATTTTCCCAAATGGCCTACACATTATGGACATTCAACAAGCTTGCCTAAAAAGAAGTAGGACATCTTATCTAAGCGGCTGTTGTTTTTTACTCTACCAGTCGCCACACATAAAAATCTGTCAATCAACCAAATCTGACATAAATGAATAAATGGCAAATTTTCCTATCCTTGAAAATTAAGTAGTCAATTATCATTATGTTGTCAGTTTTAACCTAATTTGTAGTACAGGTTTTGAAAACTATTATATATGTGCCAAGGATAAAACTTTCTAATTTATATTTTTTAAAATATGTCTTGCCCGGCAGGGCGTGGCTCAGCGGTTGAGCATCGACCTAGGATCCAGGCGATCGGGGTTCGATTCCCGGACAGGGCACATGTCCGGGTTGCGGGCTCAATCAATGACTCTCTCATCATTGATGTTTCTATCTCTGTCTCTCCCTCTCCCTTCCTCTCTCTGAAATCAATAAAGATATATTTTTTAAAATAAATAAATAAATATGTCTTAAAATTTTGAAAAACTGTTTAATAAAGTGAAGAAATATATTCCATTGAGGTTTCTTTGGCAGTATTAGAATAAACTCAAAACTACCTATAAGTAAAGCTACCAAATTTCCACTTATCCCTAATCAAACCTTGTTCTCAAATTTATTAAAAGTAGATACCTAGACACTTGCATATCTAATATCTCATTTTCACATTATAACCTATTCTTCTATAGAATATGAGAAGTAACTCCACTCTTTTTCCTATGGATGTAAAGACCTATGATGCATTTAACAACCTCACCTACTAAGGAATTCATAAAAGGCCAAATTGCAAGAGTCTGAAAAACGGTGGTTTATTTTCTAAAAATGAGAAACCATATATAAGAACCCAATAATTTTGAGCTTAGGTTTTCACAATGTACTTCCAATTAACTTGTCTGAAATAAATGTGTAAAGGAACCTCTCTCTCTCTCTCTCTCTCTCTCTCTCTCTCTCTCACACACACACACACACACACACACACACACACACACACAATATTTAGGCTATTTGTGCTTTTATTCCTGTTCAATAATGCAGAAAAAAGCACTGACTATATAATAAATTAGTAGAAAATTTTTCGTTCTTACTTTTTGGAAAATCCAATGATTCTTATGATAAACTACAAATCAAACTTACGTGACTTTTAAAAAGAGTGTTCAGGAAGCCCTGGCTGGGTGGCTCAGTTGGTTGGAGCATCATCCTGTACCCCAAAAGGTTGTGGGTTCAATTCCTGGTCAGGGCACATACTTCAGGTGTGGGTTCGATTCCTGGTCAGGGCACATACCTCAGTTGTGGGTTCGATCCCTGGTCAGGGTGTGTGGGAAGCAAATGATCAATGTTTCTCTCTCACACTGATGTGTGTGTGTGTGTGTCTCTCTCTCTCTCTCTCTCTCTCAAATCGATAAACATATCCTCTGGTGAGGATTAAAAAAGAGTTAAGGGAAATCATTTTTGTTTAATTTTCCTTCTATAAAAATAAGCTTTTGTTCTACCATATAACTTTCAAATTAATGTTTAACTATAATTTTATTCTCTGTAACATGATAACATGGCAGAGACTACTCAATAACAGTCAAGAACTTAATGGGCCCGGCCTGCATGGCTCAGCAGTTGATCATCAACCTACAATCCAGGAGATGGTTTGATTCCTGGTCAGGGCGCATGCCCGGGTTGCAGGAGGGCAACAAATCCATGACTCTCTCATCATTGGTGTTTCTATCTCTCTCTTCCCCTTCCTCTCTCTGAAATCAATAAAAATATATATTTTTTTAAAATTTTAATGGGTTGATTACAGGTTAACATTATTTTTTAATTTTTATGGCATCAAGAGGTACTGGCATTTGTTGGACTCTATCTAGATTAAATTATAAAAAGAAAAAACACATAAGATGACAATGTGGAGCTGTCCCTTACCACTTGTTTTGACTTTAAATAAAACAATGATTTGAGATTATTTAATGTCGGCACAGTATATAGATCAGCACATAAGGCTTACCATCTTCCCCGACCACTGAATAGTTCAATGGAAAACAGAAAGAAATGGCAAATTATTCACAGGAAACGGTAATATAGAAGATGCAATAACCTATATATATATTTTTACAATATTAAAATCATGTACATTTCACAATCCAAACAATTATGCCAGAAAAACAATTTAAGCACATTTTTTGGAAAGTAAATTACTTGCAAAAAAAAAAAAAAAAGCCAAAAACATACACTGATGATAATGGGCAGATATTTTATATATGCAACTAAAACTCAAAAGTGAACAGTAATCATTCTATCAGTAATCATGTATTTTAAAGGAGAATTTTTACATAAGTGATTTTCACTTATATAGCTCTTCATTCTCAAAATCCTAATATTTGAAAAGTTGAATATAAAATATCTAACATTAGCCATTTTAAAAGATATCTTACACCAAGTATTAAAAAAGACAGAATGCTCTTTCCAATGTATTAAACAAAACACCATTTTCTGAATTTTTATAGTTCAAAATACTGTAGGGTAGGTTTTAGGTGAGGGTACATTTCTACTTTAGTTTTAAGGTGCTTTTTAAAATGTACAGACACATTAAGATCATATTATTATCAAAATAATAAACGAGTCACCTAGATTCGAGTTTCCCATACGTATTATCCTAAAAGATACAAGTATGTGGGTTCAATTTTGCTTTGAAGATACAGCCTCTATTTTTCAGGTTTTATTCTGAAATCTACATGCTCGAAAAGCAACACTAAAAATATAGTTACAAAAATGTAACTTTAATATAAAAAAATGAAGTTATAAAAGTATAACTTCAATTTTTAGAAAATTGGTTAAAATTTAAGTCTTTCTGAAAATATGAAATGACATAGCCAGAATACGCTCATAGAGTTATATATACGGCATATGTATATATAACACACATTCTGTGGATTGGCAGGGTTCTGCAACTGGCATCGCATCCACCTAGCATCCCAACTAAACACATGAGACACACACACACATGCAAGCACACAAATGCACACACACACATCCCTGTGACCCAGAATACACAGGACATCCTTACAAAGTTAAGCTTCACATTCATTGCATTTGGTTAGCAGCCTCTAAAATTTTTATCTTTCCCTGTTTTCTAAATCATAATATTTTAAAGTCTGGGGGATGTCGGGTAGAATTTCATATAAAAATATGAATTTTAACAAATAGCTGACAAAAATATCTACCCGTTATCTCTGATGAATTGGCCATGTATATTAACAGTTATAATGATAAGAAAAGATGACATATGCTATCCATTATCTTTCCAAATTAAGCTTAACATTCTTTAGACTGTCAGTAGTTTCAGGAAACAAAACCACAACATCCTGATAAGATTTAATGGTTTAAATTTTAAAAAGATATTCATGCTCTTCTTTAAATGTTATTAAAAAAAATTATATACAGGACAAGAAGTAAAATACCTAAGGTATTTGATTTATCTTTTATAATTTTTACCAGCTAAATTTCTAAGTGATGCAAATTATTTTTCCAGTTTCTGTATTAATGTTTTAGAAAAAAACATCAAGATAATTATAACTGAAATATCAGATGTTTCAATGTTTAGCTAATCAAATTCTGGAGATACAAAACACTCAAGTTCTTTGTAAAAATATTAGAAATATATAAAGTAATTCATGTTCAATACAGGAACACCTTACTCTCATATGTAATTATTATATACTTATAACTAGAAATTTTCACATACCCACTATA